CCTTATGTGCAGGTTGCAAGYCCCTTGCTGCGACCTCTGATGATTACTGCTTTATTTGCTGTGCACCTCTGGCAACAGCTCGGCTCCATCTTCTTCCCCAGCAGCCCCAGAAGGAAACAAAAGAAATTAGACACCATTTAAACAAAATCTGTAAAGAGCAGTGAGGAGACATACTTCACAAGCAGACTACAGTGATTTGGAAATGAAGGATTTCTCTCCCCCAGAGGTGTAAACAGGAGACAGGTACAGCAGCATCATATCTTGCTGATTAAAGCTAGTACACTTTCAAACAAACACCATTTTTTTCCCTTTTCTTCACACCAAGCAGCTTCCCATTACTCTTCCTTTTTTTCCAGACTTCCCATAAAAAGTGTCCTTTTGCCGTTCACTCTTCTATCTTTCCTATCCCTCCTGGGAGAGGGGGAGATGAATCACCATTATAACTTGCAACACTCACTTTGCTTTGGCTGCCAGGGAGGAACAGTTGGAGCTGTGCATCACGCCGGTTAATCAACGATAGAGAATAATTCTTATAGAGAGGGAAACAAGAAAGACATGAATTCTTTTAAGGAACAACTTTTTGTGAGTATTTAATCAACTGCAGTTACAAAACTTGAAACATCTGATGCTAAGACAAGTGTGTACATATGTCTTAATTTTTGTTTAATAAAACGGAAAGGGCTCTAGCCTGAGAAAAACTGCAAAATTGGAAACATTTAATGAAAAACACCTATTTTCTCCGTATTTAATTGCCAATGGAAGTATTGGATGACAAAAATCAGCTTTCAGATAGAGTTGTCTAGTTCTGCACGCTATCATATCCAAAAAGAAAAATGAAAGAAATCTAAGTAACAAAAGGACCTCACATAAGAACTGAATTTTCATAATTTCTCCTTTTAGAGAACAAAGAGAAAAAAACAAACAAACAGATAGGCAGAGAAAAGTACCAGAACAGCCAAAAATTAGAAGATATCCCTAGAGTCACCRTAAACTACGATTTGCTGATCTGAGTTTCTGGTCGTTTTTAAAATTATTGCCTAAATATAAATCAACACACCAAAAAGCTTGGGAAAAAATATCCTTTGATTTGTATARCACAAGAATCTAATATAATTCAGAAATACATGACAGCAGTTGAAAGAAATTATTAAGAGACAAGTCTGGCAGAAGATGTCTATGTTTAAAACAGGTTATAAAACAGAGCACCTTGGACTAAGCCTTTCCCACAGAAAGGACTCGTCCCACTGGTGTCTTCTCAGCCCTTCCGCAGGCAGGACAAGCCTTTGGAAAGGCCTGAAAGGTGCCCCCTGCACTTGCTTTGAGGAAAGCGTTAGAGAGCCAGATAACTTACCTTGCTCTACCCTGATGCTTGCAGCCAAGTAACCTAACATTATCGTGATATCAGAACCAGTAAAGTCCGAGAAAATGCTCAATCAAACGTAACATAACACATTCCATTAATCACATTCCTTGTTTAAGAAGGTTCTGTGACGTTTGTGTCATACAACAGAGGTGCATATTTCTGAAAAAGCATCCCCTGAGTGCATAAAAGTGTGTGAATGCAGACCCAATAAGGGGTTCAAGCCCATAACTGCACAGGACTTCCACCCCTGAAAGGGCAGGGCTCTCTTGCAGAAGGGTCTGCTGTCAGCTGCTCACATAGCTGATCATATATTCTTAAAATAATTGAGTAAGAATGAAAAAAAAGAGAATGCATTGCTATGATAGAGAGATCTCTCCTCATGCAACGCAGCAATGTTCCATTTTTTTAATTCTCTTCATTTAATTGTTCTGCTGTCAGAAACCTCACTGACATCCTCAYGTAATAAAATATTTTGTCTGTTACCAGAGGAAGATTCCTCCTCAAATACATTTAGCAATACATACAGAAGATAGGAGACAGAAACCCTACCTGAGAAATTTCACAAGCAAAATGATTGAGAAGTACTTGCATCCAATTTGATATAGAGAACGTTTCATTCAAATGCTGGTTCTAGACAATTAGTGACTACTGAGAAAAAAAAAAATCAAGGAAAATACAGATACTCTAACAATTAATCATGAAGTAGTAAAAACTGGCAGCTTGCTTTACTACAGAAAACTTCTCTTCCCTTGAGTCAAACTGTCATTATGCAGCCCAGAATTCTTTCTTTTTTATATTAATGCAGCATTTTTTTCTACACGTTAATTTCCTTTTCCAAAAACACTGGATCCACAAATGGAATTTGTTACCCACACCCACACAGGCAACTTGGAAACTCCTCCTTTTGCTGGCTAGACTTCATAGCCCCAGATCTAGCACACCAGGTTTTGCAGGTAGCACTCGGCAGACAGAATCATGTATCATTAGCAACAGCTTCAACACACTGTGTGTTCCCTGCTAATCTGCACTGCAAGTACAGTGCTACACAAGCCCCTTCTTTTAACAGCTGGGGATATATTTCTGCCTGATGGAGAGAAGACATAGCTGACTTAAAAAAAAAAGAAAAAAATAGAATATACTTTSTTTCCTATAAATAAAATGACCTACTAGAAATGAARTAGTGAATGGAGAGCAGAGATGATCATAAGCCAAATCAAGWCATAAATCTCATTCTCAAGCATACCAAAAGCRTGTGAAATACCAACACCACTGACTCCAACTGAAGGTGAAGATATTCAAYAGTTTAAATTGTCCAGTTTTACAGGTCTTCACCAACTGAAGTTATCTCCAGTAGAACTCACTGAAACTACTTTATGCACTAACTGAAACAGTACTGGGTGTTTTAGGTAACAAATCCCTTTGCTCTGTTCTTCAAGGTCTCTAAATGCTAYGCCCTAATGCTACAGTTGAGATGGTCATTTCTAGAACTATTTAAACTTCCCATTGAATAACTTGCAGCAAAAAGCTCGAGGAGGTTCACCCACTAATAGTCACTGCAGCACCTTCCCCCGTATCACRGCAATGCACAAGCAGCCATCAAAAGCTACGACTTACTTATGTCCCCACTAAAAGCATGACTAAGTGCCTTATATTACCACTTGCAAAACATACTATTATGTGTACCCCTATTTATCTTTATTAGCCTTATTTATCTTTATTATGTTTTGGTCCTCTTTATTTTTATTATGAGGTGACCCTTGATCTTCACTCATCATCCACCTTAAGTGATAGGTGACTTTTTTTTCTAGTAAGTCAAACTCCCTACTCCTTTTTATAGAGGTATTTCGTGTTTAAAGTTTCTATTCAGTGAAAACAATACAGTCTAAATGAAGCAACTCTATTTAAGCATTCATTGAAGCATTTATCAAGCATCATAAAACTCMTCAGCTCACTAGAGGAGTCAGATTTTTCCAGCAATGGCACTTGCTTAAGGAAGATAACAAAGACCTTCTCGTTTAGATTTACTCCAATGGGTGCCCATGATATTCCTACTATATTCACATCCACTTAACACTACAGTATTTATCCTGTATCTTAGCTGACTCTCACTACAGTACACAAGCACAGTGCTTATACATAAGTTCACACCAGTCTAAGCAGTGAAACTAAGCAATGAAACCTTTCACGTCACCCATTTATTTTTCCCAAACCCCAATAAAACCAAATCATGTCCTCACTGAAAAGCAGTCTAAGTGACAGTGTTTTAGGAATGGAAGAAGGGATGAAAACAATATGCCACCAATTACTCACTAAGCTCTTCATCAAAACATGAATGGATGACTTCAGAAAAGTTTTATAACAGTGTTTTACCATCAGATTGTGTTTTAATATTTTACTTTGTGAAATAAAATGAATTCAGAGAAACTGCTCTTCAAATAATGCATTAAGTGAAAGAGAACAGCTCTTTTTTCAGAGCTAGTTTCTTCAGAAGCACAAGGAAAGAGCCTTCTTGTTGGCAACACATTAAATCCAAACACACACAATGAACCAGAATTATCAATAAAGTGAAAAATGCCAATGCACTTCCCCCATAGCAAAATTCTCTCTTCCATTTACAACTTCTATAGCTAAAGAGTCATCAGTGTTTGTTTTGCATTGCTATATATTGCATATAGGAATGAGTCTTGTAGAGYTGACAGTGGCTCAGAATAGCAGTTAAAAACATTACTCCAGATAAAACCAGTGGTTGTCCCTCTGCTACAAGACACTAACACGCTACTTTCATGCAACCTCCTCCTTACAGGTAGACTTTCCACTTACTTTCAATGAAATAAAAGGAAAATGTAACAAAGTCTTCAGCCTTAGCACTAAAAAACTATGTTTTTTTGTCTTAAGCAGACCACTATACTTACCTTCCTTTCTGCTGACTTACCTAYAGTTGCAAATCTTGTAAGATATGCTGCTGAACACCACTAGGCTTGTGTACAAGGGTTAAACCAAAAAGGATACKGTCTACAATTACAGTTCATAACTGATGAGTACCTCAGCTAATTCATATATTAAAATAATTTGGAATTTATCTGTAACTCAAAGTGCACTTAACTTGCATACACCTACCTAAAATAATGAAAAAAAGCTTTATCTGGGAAAAGAGTATCAAAATACATTCATGGTTATAGTCAGAGATGTACATATAAAATGGCTGTAGAGAAATATACACTTACTAGTATTGGTTGAAAACAATTCACTGCTGAACTCATTCTTCACTTCTCCAAATTATAAAGTGCTGTGTTTCCATTTTTCTTCACTTCTCCAAATTATAAAGTGCTGTGTTTCCATTTTTCTTCACTTCTCCAAATTACATTACGTCCATTTTAAGGAGTGAACAAACCAGGAGCTTCTCACTGGACATCATGTGTCAACACCATGCATTTTTGACTCACCTGCTTGCTTGTAATCCACATTAAGGAGGAGACAAACCTTGCCTATGAAACACTATCACCCTTGTGATAACAACTGAATGCACCTGGCATGTATATATGTTTCTACTTGGAGAAAAGTTCTAAATATTCTGGATTTGGAGTTGGTGTCCCAAGGTACTCATCTCACACTTGAAAATCTACACATTGCCACCTACCTTAGCAAGTTGAAACTAAGGTCTAGCCTTTTTGCCATGTGGCCATAGTTTCTTCCCAGGAATTCTGGAATTTCTTCACAATCTTGACTGATGTAGGACACCTGAGAATTACAAGCAAAAAGGGAATACTTCATAAGTTACTTCATTAGTTACATTTTCCTGTCCGGGTTCTGCCTCACTGATCCAATAACATACAGGACAATCAACATTCAACACATCTTCAACCTACATCTGTTTTAATGTTATAGAATCTATCACTGTCTCATTGTTTCAGTCAATGCAATCAGCTTAATATTTACTATATCCATAGTCCCTTACAGAAAGTATTAGAATTTTCTCATTTCAAGTAAAAATAAGGGATTTCTAATTTTCCTCTCAAGACACAAGCTACCAAAAAAAAAAAATAAATAAATAAATAAGAAAAAAGAAACAGTCAAATTTGGTTTGGGTAGCATTGCACTTTCTGTTAAATAGAAACTCTTCTATACAACAGACAGTATTTACTTCTGCAAATCACCTGTCTCCTATACTCTTAAAAKGATTGCAATGTGATAATACACTATTGCATCCCATTTATTTGTTTCATTTCCAGCAGATAAAGCTGATGATAGTGAAATAATTTTCATTTTAAAAACAGGAGCAGGAAACAGGCAGCTTGAAGTTCAGGGCAACAAATTCCCCCCTCTTCATCTTTCATCTGTTCTTGCAATAAATTCTTCTACCAGACACAGAAATGACTTTGACAAACAGGACAAAASGGAAAGGAGCTAGTTTTGGTACTTGAAATCCTAATAGATTGGACATAGCAAAAACTGTTTTCTAGAACTTACTGAAATAAAGAAGAAAAATTACATAAATGCAACTCCCCACAATGACACTCCCCACACACTGATTTTATAGTTTTTAATCCAAGAGGCCTACACAGAATTTTTACAAATTGCATAAAAGTAAATGAATTGCTTCACTCTCCACCGAAAGGTCGCTYTCTTTAAATTAATGTCTCCAAATCCTTGGAAAGACACCACATTAGCATTAGAATAACACTTTGGATTAAGCATTAGCTCAGTAGAACCCGCTGAACTTGCTTAAATTGAATATGACTAAGACACAAGGCTTTATAGCACKAGAGTGCAATAAACCCGACCGACTAGAGGCACAGCAGGAGCCCAGACCACCACGTAGGTCTTCACCTGGGCTGTAGGAGCAGTGAGAGACCTTGCCCTCCGTTCCCATGGGGCCAAAACACACCTGGCCCAAACGTTTGTATCAGCAGGGCAAACGTTTCCCTACATTGTAGCAGTTCCACCACGCTCTGTGTCTTTCGCTTCCTGTGCGGGGCCGGAGCGCCGGGCCCACACTGCGTCCTGCAATCCCTGCTCTTGCAGAGCTGAAGCAGTTTTCCTGGCTGATACAAATAGCATCGCTGTCCCTCACAGGTGTAAGCTCAGCTGCAACGGAGCTGCTGTGACCCGTGAAGGCTGTGGCCTTTGAAAGGAGTTTTGCTGGGATCAACCCCTTTTCAGCCCACTCACAGCTCAAGCATCTTTCTTTTTGAATTTCAAGTAATCAGATGTATTTTTCATAAATACACAAGGTGCGTTTACTTCAGATCTGTGCATCCCGCATACACACACCTGTGGATCCTTTAGAGTAACAGTAATGATACCTGCCAGGCTGGCGCTCAGCAATATGCGATAAACCTTTGCCAAGAGGTTTTCAACAGCGTCATTCTTCCACTCTTCTGCTTGTGAATCCTTCCACAACGCTCATATAAACCAAGGCTTTGGCAGCCCAGCAAAGACAAGAATAAAGTTCGCCATTTCTATTCTTCTAGCTGAAAATTATTTACCCAGAAGACAATAAAATACAGAGAATTCAGCAAAATTCTCCATTTTTTTTCCATCAATCACATAACACCACACAGGATTAGAAAGTGACCATAGATATTTTCCATTGCCTAATTTCACAGCCCAACCCTAGTTCAGGTTGGTAACCCCCRAGCATTCCCATTCCTGCTGCCCTGTTCCATGTCCCATGGAAATGCTCTGGAAGGGCCCACAGAGCCCAGCATCAGGGCTCTGGGACACCGTGGATATTCCTGCCAGGATTTCAACCCCTGGTACATATGTCAGGAAAAAAAAAAAACAATGTTTTTACATAACATTTAAACCACGGCTTTACTCGATAGCAGTTGCATCCCTCTTCCGCTGTAGTTCTAGGGGATATTATCCATTTAATCTCTGTAATCATTTTACAATGATACTGCAATCTTAGCAACTCATAAAGCAACATCTTTATTAAAGAATGTTGCCAAATAGGTCGTGTATGAATTTTAGATATCGCATATTCCCTTCCATTGAACAGAATTACATCTGGAGAATATTTCCAGTCAGTTGAGCATTATATTATACCATAAGCTGTTAGAAGATGATATGGTTGGCACGAGGCCAAATTAAGACTAGGCTGCACTTGAAGGGGCTCCACGCGGCCTGGAGGGCAGGCGGACGGTTATGGTGGGTGAAGCAGGGACCACGGGAACTGCAGGGGGAGCCGATTGTTCCCTCTCCCACACACATTTACCCCATTTCCACGCAAAAATCACAGACCACATGAAGGACGCAGTTAGGCGCGTAGCAGCCTGGCTTAGCGGCAGCTTGGCTGCAAAAGGAACACAAGCCTGGTTTATTCTGCAGAGGGGAAATAATGTTTTGCTGGTTTTAGCCGCAGAGGGAAGAGCAGTGACACGAGGAAGCTCTCAGYGGCCAGCTACAAGGCCAGGGGGATTTATGTCGCTTCCCACCAAAACTGCCCTCACCAAAACACAGGTTTACTTTCAGGGAGGGACAAAACTTCCAGTCTCTCTCCTTCAAGTTATTCCCTCAGCCTACCCGGGCAGAGGGAGCAGCCGGGTCGGAGCGCAGCCGCGGGTTATTCGGGGCGCCTCGTTCCCCTGCCGCAGGCCAGACCGCGGCCAAGCCGCGGGGCTCCCGGGCGGCGCTGCCCCCGCGACAGCGCCTCGGAGCGCCGTGCCGCTGCTCGCGGCCCTGGAGCGGCAGGAAGGGCGACAAGGGAGGAGCGCGCGTCCCCAGACGCGCCCGGGCCCCGTGCCCGCCGCGGCCGTGGGGAGGGGCGCGCGGCGCGGAGCCGGTGGCGGCAGCGGGGAGCACGTGCGCGCCCACGCGCGGCTCCGCGCCCACCCCCCGCGCCGCGCATCCTTCCCATTGGAAGAGGGGCGAGGCTGGCGCCTCCCGCCCCGCCGCCGGGCCAGGCCGGGCGGAGCGTCCCCGGGCGGCGGCCAGGCGCGGGCGCCGCTCACTTACTTGGTCTCCGCTCACCACGACCCCCGCCATGGCCGCGCCGCCGCCCGCGCCGCCGCCTCCGCCTCGCGGCAGTCACCTGACATGGCGGAAGCGCCGCCCGCTCCGCGCCCCCGGCGGCCTCGCGCGGGGACGGCGCCACGAGAGCGGCGGGCGCCGCGGGGACGGCCCCGACCGCGGGGACGGCCCTCGCGGGGCGCGGGAGCCGAGAGCTGGAGCCCTCCGCGCCCGCCTTCCCTCCGCGCCTCCCCGCAGGCCCGTCCGGCAGCGCGGGGCGTAAGCGGAGCCGCAGCCCCCTTTGCCCGCAGAACGGGGGGCAGCTCCTGCGAAACCCTCCACGTTCGGTCTATCAGAAACACCCGAGACGTGTTTCCTCGCAGAGCAGGAGGCCCTGCTCGGGAGGATGGTCAGTTACCAGCCCGGCTTGGGTCACTGCAGGTTTCCTATAAGAATSGTGTGACACTTTTAAAGATATCTAGATTTCTCAAGCGTGCATCCTCAGTCCCTTTAGCCCCCTGCCTAACTCTTAGAGGCCAGCACCTTAAAGGTCTGGCTCTTCTTTCCCCTTTATCACTAACACAGCACATTCACCACTGGAAAGAGCAGAGGCACGTGCTGTGAAGGGAAAGAGCTTGGAGGAGGACACGAATGCCACACGGGAAAGCACCGCACAGTTTATCAACCGATGGAGTGGGAACTACACAGTACTTGCTGCTCTGCCTCTCAGTAGGAACAGACCCAATTCTTGGTACGGCCGCAGCATTAAACCTAGAGCTGTTCCCCCTCTTCTCATTGCTGGGAAGGAAACACAGAGCGCCCAGCCTAGAAAAAAATGAATAAATAAAAATGCACTGTTTCCCCCCTCGTTATTTAAATGTATTGTGATAAAAATAAAAATGGATCAACACATAGAAAAATCAAAGCACAGTCAATAAGCAAATCACTCCATTGCTTCGCATAGATCTTATTTTATTTATATAGAACAAGACGTAGAAGAATCAATCCCTTCATCTGCAGCAAATAGAGAGATCCTACACTGATGAATAAAAGTTCTGTTTCTCCAACTACATAAGAGTTTTCCACAAAGCCGACTTRCTGCTTCAGGTTATCACTCAGCATGCTCCAAAAAACAGTGCATTTATTTATTTATTTGAGTACATGGCAAATCACATATGCCAAAAAAAAAGTACTATGTGGATTGCAAATTTAAACAAAGCTATAAATTCTCTWCTTTCTCTATATTCCTTTTCATCCCTTCTTTATTTAGAAGCATGCAATTCAGATCAAAACGAATACATGTAACTCAAGGCACAAAGCGGCCTATTGCTGTACTTAGCTGTATTTGTCTTAATGGAGTAAATTCAGTTCAATATTACACCCCTGTAAAATTGGGATAACTATACTGAAAACAATTTAGCACATCATTGTCTACATTATTAGTATTCATTTTAGTAGGAGTGTTAGCTGTCACTTTAGAGATATTTATGAAGATAAAATTCCTGCCTGAATAGTTTACAAAATAGCRCACACAAATAATAACAAGTCTGTTTTTTTCCACCTTCTTACATTGCCAATTGCATTAACCTGCCATTGATCCTCCTACTTACTAGGCAAGGTCTTGTCTAGAGGGAGAAGTTGCAGCTGGAGCGCCCTAAACTAGGTGACTTAAATTGACTTTATCATCTCTTCAATCAGTTTAGCTGAATTTCGTAAATTACAAAAACAATTTAAGGAGGTGGCAAACTGTTTTAAGTGCATCTGGCTTATAATCAGTCTTTTTAAACTAGTTCAACATTTGTGTTTATAGACATGGCCTAGATTATTATCTGTCATGGATAAAATAATAGATCCAAATCCTATGGCGTGTAACAAGCAGGGAGCGCTACCAACCCCAACAGCAAAATGGGTCTATTACATTACACAGAAAAATAAAACCCTCTGTACCAGAGGAATGGAGAAGCGAGATGACTGTCTTGTTATGATGCTTCCCTAGACTTTGAAAAGTTACCCCTCAAAAGTCCTAATTCTCCTGCCAATTTCCAACGTGATGATTGGCAAATTTCTGAAATTTGATTTTTCTGCCTTATTTTTACCTTCAGTACCCATCACCCGCACATAATATCCAAGAGGAATGAAAACTCAGAGCTGAAAATGTCTCAGGAGCACCAAAGGAGGTGCTTTGTAACATATCATATTCCATTGTAACTAAGTTATAACATCATTGTACTTTACAAGGTGCTCATTAGGTTGTGCTCCATGTTGGCATAGTACCAAACGCCAAATATAGATTATATCCTTTTATGTAAACTGATGAGAAGCATTTTCCTATCCTTAAAGAAAGCCGAATGTTTATAAAAGAAAAAAAACTAGCAATCTTTAATGATTTATTATGTGAAATTCATAGAAATATTTCAGGCTGGGYTAATCAAAATTATCTGTTTTCCATCTTGCAGCTCACTGTCTGGATGTGCAAGCATACAATCATCCTACATTTCAGAAAAGGAAACCAAACAATAACCTATTGTTTTCTCAGTAAATTAGTATTTCTCCTGACAAAATTCAGCTTTGAACAAAGTGAATTTTTTGAAGCAAAACATCTAAACAATATATGCAGCTAACTCACATAATTCTGTCAATTTGACCATTAGAAAAATTGGCTCAAAGTTTGCCCGTCTACCCAACTCACTCTGTCAATGTTACCATGAAAACATTGCAAACATTGTCTCCAAGTATTTGTTGGTAAGTCTCTGCAGCAATATGATGTTTAATACAGACAGAATCTGTTTATCTTAACTGATCTTTTCTTTATCAAAATCTGATTGCAGTACTGGCATTTTTGCCAGTAACACCAGAGGAAGCAAAACGTGTTACTTATAAGTAGCCTCACTCAAACCTGGTTTTAACCCCAATTCACGGTGCTTGATGGCCCAACTAGCAACTTCATCTGCCTCTTCAGAAACAGTATCACCAGCATTTTCACCAGTGTCCATGTTGCTTGTTTGAAACACCTTTTTTGTGAAGAAAAGCAGGCAATACAAAGCAACTGAGCTGCAATATCCCACACCAGCATGTGCCCATGTAACTTCCGGCTTTGCTTTGAATATAACAGTCAAGTTACTCAAAAATCTTGATATGGAAACTGCTGCTACTACTTTTCCTATGAAACTACTAGGTTTCAGATGAACACAAATGATTTTTTAAGCCCTGGATGACTGACTTGCCACAAGTTGAAGTGTGGCGCTCACCTCCAGCCCATTACAGAGATGGGCATTTCCCACCAGCTGCCTGCATTAGTGGGGAAAGCAAGTGGTTGCACTGAAGCAACTGTGCATCCTTGGGCATCAGGGCTTGCTTGCTCACAAGGCAATCAAAGCTGGAAAAAAAAATGAGTAAAGCTAGAATAAAGTCTAACTTGAGAACTATCGACATTGCAATTCTTTTATTTATTTATTCTTAAACCTCCAATCTTCAAGCAGTAGATTTGAGGTTTTAGAAGTCCAGTGAGGTATCTTCTGTCTGTCACCATGTCTGGTGCAGAGCTGTCCATCACATAGCCRCAGAGAAAACAAAATTATTTCCGGAAATGCTTCAACACAAAGATCAAACTACAAAAGAAGTGGCTTCAGAGGCCAGAGGTGCTTGTAGCTGAGCAGTTCTCTCCTGTTCTCTAGTTTCTGTCTTGGTAATTCTCTGCAGCACTGAAACATCAGAGCGTGGGCTTAGAGGTGGAGCGTGGGCTTTTCTTGGCAGAAAGAACTAGGTTCACCTGATTAACCAAAGGAGACAGAATCTGCATCTTATGTTGTCAACAACACTGCAAAACAAGACAGGCCTGCCTATTAACAGGTATATACACTACTAAAAATACATGTTGGAAGGTGTTTTATGCCTGGTTTTACCCTGACAGAAGATTGTGTTCAGGGCAAGCTGTAGGAACATACATGTTGGATGTCATACATGTACCTGACATATCCACATGGAAAAGTGAAAGGAGAAAAGCAGCTGAGCCAATCGATGTAACGCTGCCTTCACTGAGAACTGTGTGGTGCTCCGTAAGCTCAATGTTATGTTTTCTTCACCAAGCTCTCAACACCATCTCCATAAAACACAAAATATTTACATAAGTCTTCTTWTGGTTAGAAATACAAAAGAAAATGCAGGCTAAAAAGAAAAGACTTCCTGTTTATACTGAAGAGATTATTAGAGCCAGACCAATGTCAAACTTAAGGAAATTGTTGTCTTATGTTGTCTTAATTTTCTAAATGCAACTTTTACTCCATATATACAAAAGTTTCTGAAAATATTACGATATTTGACTGTCATACTGTACACCATTTCTAAAATCGTAAGAGAACAGATCTAAACTGCACATTTATGATTACCATCAAGTTAAGATGAAGAGAAACCACTGAAAATATAATATAAAGCGTTTCATGCTTAAGTTTCTTACTGGAATCTTACTGGAATCCAGATCAATTAACTAAAGATTAAGAATTACTTGTCACAGGGTGGTGCTGAATAACATATAGGCCAGAGACCCACCTTTTCAGTCGCAGTGGAAAGATATCCATATCATGGAACCAKGGAATCTGCACAGGAACAGATACCAGAGCTGTCCTATTTAAAGAAAGAWAAATAAATAAATAAATAAGACTGAATGAACACAAGGAAAACAACTTCAAACTCTTCCAGGCTGCATCTCCAGATCAGAACTGAGACAGCACAAGTTACTCTTTGATAGTATAAGGTCCTCAGTTTCAAAGTTGACAGTATAGCATATTTCAACATTAATGACTTTGTCAAGAAAAAAAAAAAACAACAAAACCCACCACAGCACAGTAGTATGGTTTGGGATTTTTAACTAAGGGTCACACCAGCCTATGTGAGYGACATCATAGCTCACAGGATTATGCAGCGAGGGAACCATGCCACATTTGGATCCAGTATGAAGATTCACTACTGTGATAAGGTAATGATAGTAATGCTAGGGAAGGTTTTTTTTTTTAATAAAAAGTGGAGGTTAAAAGAGACCTTTTTTGAAAAAAAAAATCCTGTCATGACAATACTGCAAACGACTTCACACCAAAGAAAAAATTTCAAGAATTTTAAAATATTACTATTTTTACAGACCTTTTGAAAACTGTTAAATCTGTAACTACAGACTTGAAGCTCCTTGTTATCTGAAAAATTTGAGGGTATCAGTTTTATAGTAGAAAAATAGCAGTTGTTCTCTTTAAACAAATAAAGGCAAAGAACAAAATATTCATCAACTAGAGAGATAAGTGACAAAACAGAAGATTTGTTAAGTTCACTGAAGAATTTAGATATTCTGTTTTAGGCTTACTGACTGCTTACATGAACATAACCATTTTCATCAWGAATATCCATAATTTGACAAATTGAAAATAACACTTTCAAAGTTATATCTATAGGGAAATTATTAGTCATCCTCTTTCCCTTTTAGTGAATGGAAATGCACTTTAATTCCCTTCTTACCTTTACTACCCATTTCAAATTGTATTCACTGTACAGTACTGTAATTTGCCTTCTGGCACAAAGATTATAAATAAATGTGTTTGTGAGATTGTTCATAATAATCTATCCTCAGTGTTATTTACACTGGTTATTTTAAAATATAAAGAAAGTGATACTTAACATTTCTAAAGTGTCATTCCTTCATAAATTTAATGACATTTTACACATATATTAAATCAATTAAGCCCTACTATACCTATCTCAATTAGGCATTAATATCCCAATTTTACAGCTAGTTACACTAAGGATAGTTTTAAAGGTTAGCTATCTTGCTAATATTACTCTTTGGGATAAAACCCAAGGATCTCAATCTCTACATGTAATAAAGAATAAAAGCCTTTTATTCCTCTTCTAGAATGGAAAAATATGATAAAACAAAAGGTAAAATCCATGGCCCAAACTTTGGGGCATTAAAGACCTTTTACTTTTTCCCCACCTCCCAAGCCAGGTTAGTTATCTGTAATCGAAAAGAACTGAACTTACTTTGTACCACTTTAAGAGGTTCCTCCAGCTGGCTACCTTGGGACAGGTCCAGGCCACTTCATGCTTCTTAAAGAATTAAAAAAAAAAAAAAAATCCAATTAACATTACCGTATAGTTTCTTACCCAGTTAATTCTACCAAACTTTTCAGTTTAGTGTCATTAAAGAGTTATTTTATTTTAGTTTTCTACTCTACTTCTAATATGCAAACAGTAGGAATGCCATCCTGTTTCCGAGGTGGTATCATTTGATATTTACATCCTCTAATAATCAAGACTGTCATCATCTCTCCATACTAAACCCACAGAACTACAACTGCATAGACAACCCACSTAGGTTCTGGCTCTTCTTTTTTCCGTGTTTGACCTAATGGTGTTGGAGCCAACGATGGATCCACAACTGTTCCTTGCCATGTCCAGCCACAAGCCGTTCTCAGAGCATGGATGTGCCCAAAACAGAAAGCACTCCGTGCCTGACATGACTTCACCAGCAAGCTCTGTAAAAGGAACGRACAAATGCATCGCTCCATTAATTTGTGTCACTGCTCCCAGTGGTTCAGCAACCCATTACTGGACCCTTAGAGGAAGACCATCGCCCTGAGGAGTCTGGCAATCCCAGTTCATTCCAAGAGGAAAATCAGTTTGGCACAGAGGAAGCCAGTAACATCAGTTTTCTACCCTGCATTGCCTATACCACCTAAATGTTCCTAAGATCATGAAGACTGCCATGCAGCATGGAGTCCCTAAATGTGGAGAAGACACTGGTGAGATTCTTGAAACACTTCTGACCTTTGAATACCAAGTTTCTGCAGTAGCCACCTCCTCGTGGCTGTCCACTACCATACAGCATATGTTCCCTGAGAACTGCCCCAGTCTCCTCTCCCAACTTCAACAACTAATAGCACTGAGAGAATATATGACTCTCCAAGGCCTCCTGGATATAACCAGGATACATCAGGGTGGGAAGAGGAAATGAAAACCAGTACGGGCCCGCTCTGTCCATATGGAGTGGCTACCAGAATGAAATGCCATCTCAAACAACCCCAAACTTACTCCCAGCAGGAAGGAAATTACCCGTTCTAGGCCTACGTCGAAGGATGACTTGGGGCAACAACATCTCAGAGCCTCAAAGCAACCTGAACGGCCAGGAACACCCTTTAGCTGGGCCTGGCCCCGCTTGGAGCCGCATCCGAAGGTGCAGGAAGGCTTTCTGCTGGCCTCACAGCTCGTCACAACCACAACCAGCTGCACCACGGCCAGACCCAGCACTATCCATGGCCTACGTCGGGCCTAAGCGGTACCTGCTCCTTCACTTAACCCGGCTGCTCCCTCCACAGAGCTCGGCCGCTTCAGGGCTCTCCATCGTCACTGAAGCYCAGGAGTCACCAGGGCTCCCGCCAGCTCTTGGGCACCTCACACTCCCACGGCGAGTGAGGGGACCGCTCTTACACTTTGTAAGCAAGAGATCTGCTTCACTGCTCAATTTGAGGCAAGCAAAAGAGTTAAACAGTTTTATAAATGTTTCTATAATGCAAGACATTTTCAGTGCTTCAGGTGGAATAAAAGCACTCGTTAGTTCACCAATTTGCCTAAGTAAAGTAGTTTAAATTATGTTAAAAAGATATTATGACCAAAATGTTATTATTAGAAACTAACACCTTGAAAACACTAACTACTGAAAAATGTTTTTGTCTACTTATATAAATTACCCCAATGTCATTCCTCATCCATTACTGACAATAATACCTGAGTGATATGCATTATGCATTAAATATTTTTATAATCATTCAGAACTATTTGTATTAAACAGTGATAGCAGATATTCACTTTATATTTTAAGATGTTAAAGTTGATAATATACAGTATGTATCGGAATATCATAGATTAGATTATGGTAGATTTATTCAGGCAGTTTTATTTTATATGGAGTGGACAGGTGGAAGACTGAGTATTTTTAATCCAAATAACTCTGTGCACGGTTTGACCTAAACTGATAAAAGCAGAGAAATTCATATCTGAACCTGTCACTTAGAGGTGAACTAAGAGTCTTTGGCAGTAACTGCAAGGAATCAAGATCAGCAACACAGTATATGAACAGAGGCAAAAATTTTAAATAACTTTACCTTTAGAAAACAAAATATCGAGTCTGTAGCCACTATCTTGTTTGTCCGTAAGTCAAACAAAGTCTGTGTCAAACGTGTTGCCCCAGTAGCTGCTAGGTGACCTGCGTGACAGTTTAGTGAGCACAAAATCCCTGTATCTACAGCATTAGTACAGAATCAACAGGGAGGATATGAGCGCACTGTTCTCTAATCATGCTGGCAATACAGAGAAGGACTTTACTCACTTCACTGAGACATCAACTTGATGTCTTTATAATTATATATATTTTAAATTTTATTCTTACTTCAGGAGTCCACTTTGTCTCTTGATGCTACAAAGATGAAACGCACCCAGCCTTACAGTGCCTGAGAAAGCGAGCAGATCTGTGCAGCAGATCTGTGCAGCAGATCCACACCAAGAGTCCAGAGCCCACACTGAGGAGACAAGCAACAGGATGAATTTGCGGACACAGCAGAACATTTTCTGTTCTTGAAACACCTCATAAAAGCCCACAAGGAAGCACATCTGGGCCTTCGGGCAAGATATAAGGGCACTGCTGATAAGCATTTGAGCTATCCAGAGACATACAGCCAAGCTGTTCAAGACACACCAACCATCTCTAGCCCAACACTACTCCAAGAGAGAACACACTATTTTTTTCCAGTGTCTGTTATATAAACACAAATATACCCTGCTCTGGGCTGGGTTCTTGGCATCCCACGATTATTCACTGTTCACAGTAAAAAATGTTATTGCTTTCATTACTCCAGAATAAATATAAAAATGGAACTGTAATAYGGCCACTGGAAAGGACCATATTTCCTTCCAGCTCAGCTGCCCTTGGTTATAGCAGCTTGCTCACCCAGAACCAGCCCGAGCTCATCTTGCCCTTCACTAATAGAAGTAACAGGGAATTTCATCCCCTTCACATCACAGAAATTACAAATGCGGGTCCAAAAATCAAAGTCAACTTGTTTCCACAGCCAAGGCTGACCCCCATGGCAACTTCTTCTCATTGTCCTTGCTGCACAAATGATTTTAAGAGGAATATTAAAAAAAGTAGCTGGTTGTGGCCAAGAACAGCCTTCACCTCTACTGTAAAAAGCCTGTTAATGATCTATGGTTGTTTATACGGACATCATAGAGAGAAATRAACTCTTTTCAAAATAGTTTACTTATTCTATGTAGTTTTCATGATAAATAAGGAAAAAACTAGCAGCATCTTCTGGCCTATTAATATAATTTATTATTAATAATAGCTGCTGTGAAAGGTTATCAATAGGCACAGGGAAACTGAAGCATCCACAAGGAATTTTAAATTGGGTTGTAAGGTTTACTGTTTTCCTCGGGTGGTATAATTTGGGCCCAACCATTCTTCTTTCTTATTAACATACTCAGAYATTAAAAACCTATAATACATATGAAGGTATCCTACTGAAATTTGTTTTTCTCACTGAGATGATGACAAAAATGTGGGGACAAACCAATGGATAATTACTGACCCAAAACACCTGCTTGCCCCAGTCCAATTCTGTTCGCATAGAAGTAAATGAGAAAATTCTGCTCTCTCAAAGGAGAGAAGCAGCAAGTCCTACCCCAAGTAGCCACAACACTATTATATTATCTCTGTCCAGGAGCCATTCAACCAAGGAATACTCTTATACAGTGTTAATAAATTACGTTTCAAAAGCGGTGTTTTGCTAATTGATTTTACCATTGTATATTAATAACATTCAAACAAGCCTACCAGAGTCATATAATAATAATACCATTTGTACCTCTGTCTTACTAGCATGGAGATTATTCAGGATTTCAAGGTCACAGATAAAAACACCATATTGTATAAATCTAAGGTAAACAGCTGACATGGTTCAGCCTACTTGGCCATCCTTTGAGCATACAAATACACTATAAATACAGAAAGAAGCAGAGGAATAAAATCTGTTTCTTATGAGAATGAAATGGCATGAAGGATAGCTCTCTGCTCGAATATGGAAAAATAAAAATTAAAATTAGATGTAGGATTCATGCTGAGCCCTTTCCTGCTCTTGGTCTGCTTCAAATTCTTTAACTCTGGGCGAAAGAAGCAGCCTTGCTTCTTTCTTGGGTTTTGGTTTTGTTCCCTTCAAAAATCTATCTTCTTTGAGACAGAGAATTCTCAGAGGAACTTTTACACTCCGAATTTACTTCCTCGGTTTTTGCCTATTTCCCTATTACTCATATTCCCAACTCCACCTCACCAGAGCAAACAGCAAATACCCACAAGCCATACAGACAAACGCACTGAGCTCACCCTCTTTTCAGCTATTGAACGTACTGCCCCTGCAGCGCTGCACCAGACACTCGTTGCCTTCCGACTTCTTCCTGCAGGAACTTGCCCCGTCATCTCATGAGCACCCCTCTTCCTTTGGAGGCCTTGCAGGATTCTCCGCTTTTGAAGAACTTTCTTTTTGCCCTTGGATCTCAAGTARCTTATTCACTTGGTCCCACAACAGTACAGGGCAGACGTGGCTACGAGCACATTCTGAAGCTAAACTTTCTTTTGCTATCACTTTGCACGCTTTCTCGCTCCCCTCGCTTTTCTCTACCGCCAGGTAGCCTACCCAGCACAACAGGGAGCACWGAGGTGATACTCCAGCTGAAATGATGTAATGCTGAGAATTAAACTTACACGCAAGTGCTCGGCACCTGGGTCACAACCGGGTCACTTCCCGGAGTCCTGCAAGGAGCACAGGATAACGATCTCTCTAGGCTGAGGCCCCTCTCATAAAACACAGCACAAAGCTCTACCTTGATATCTGAATCTAATCTGATTCAATATGCATTTTTTCCCCTGTTTCTTGATCATAAGGTGGAACATGGACAGTTTTACAGCTTTTTTAGTGCCAGGCTGTTTGCCACGACTGCTGCTGGCTGTTTCACAGCACCCCTGCACACCTATGGCCATGGCTGTTCTCT